CCCATGCTGTACTCACAGAAATCTAGGAGGAAAAAAACCCATGACCTATAAGCCATAGTGCTAGTCAGGACACCCATTAGCAAAGCCTTTGAAGATAGGAACTAAGGGTTAGAGAGTCTAAGTCTTTGATTGCAATGCTTTGTAGGGAGGACCTGAAGGCAGTAATAACACTGTAGTACACAGATTCATAGGCTTGGAATGTCACCATGACTTTAATAGTCCGAATAATCACCTTTTCTTATACTCCCAGTTGAAGGTATGATTTATAGAGGGATTATAATACATCCCCTATCCCTTCTAGCTCAGTTTCTAGCATTTAATGATAATCTAATTAATTCTTTTTAAAGTATATTGATTTAACTTACTTGTTTTCTTATTCCTTTCCAAAAGCTACCTCAGTGAGAATGTTGTAAAACAGACCTACTACTGCCACTGAGGCTTTGTCTAGACTGTGTAGTTTTAACTTACCTACTGCAAGAGCAGCTTTTATCAATGCAAACTGCATTATAGCAGCAGTGACCGTGTCTGTTTATACCAGGGCAACTATGTAAGTAACTCCAAGTGATGTGTGAGTACTTATGTTGTTGGCGCTAGGAATATCTGGGTGATATCATTTCTCTGTCATAGTCCCCCCAGTAACCTAAGGTACGAGTCATTTGACCTTCTGTGCCTCTTTTCACCGTGTATAAAAATGGGAATAATAACTCATCATTACTCTAGCCTTAAAATACCTGGAGGTACTTTGTTATTACAAGACTGGGGAAGGAGTCCTATAATTATATGAGCAGAAAAACACATTTGTAGAAAGACCAGATGCTTAGGCATACATGCAAATGGCAGATTAAAAGCTTCTCTTCCTTCTCCCTCTGCCATAATTTTCTCCAGATTGGAATACTGCACTTTGCACTTTTACAGGGATAAAACTGATTTATCAGACAAAACTCTAAGCTCTCCTAAAATATCAAAGCCTAGGTCATTATCTTAATGTCTAAGCTAAGCTAGGCTAAACACAGCAGACCCAATGCTTACGTTATCCGAGATGCATCTTCATTGTACACTGGCAGAAATCCTGAGTAATTTATTCAGTGGAGTTACATCCTTGTAAAACTCATGTAGATGAAAATAGAGCTGGAGCCTCATGTTTCTGCTGTTACATGAAGATTTGACATCACAGACATATTTTTAATACAAATGACCATGCAAAACTAAGAATTGTGCATATTTTTGATGAATGCTAGTTATTTAGCTAATTTTCATTCCTTTTCTGTATACTGCAGAATAAAGCGTAATTCTGTCCTCACAGGAAAAACTAGGTTTACTCCATGCTACGCCTCCTAGTTTCTGTGTGGCGTTGACTTCAGATTCACTGGAAACCCACTTGTCCACATACAGTTGTGTATTCTTCTGATACTTGTTATATACTTAATTATAGACTGTAGTTGAAGGAAGAATATTTTCAGGTTTAACACAGGAATTCTTTTTTTAAAGTTGATTGCTATTAGTCTGAGGTTGTTTTTTAGTATTGTGCACTGCTGCTTTTTCCACTGCTTTCATTCTTTCATATTGCTTCAGTACCACAAGCCGTTGCCTGTAGTTCTCTGAGCAATGTATTGCTAAAGTAAAATAATTGCACACATGTAACTATCACAGTATTTTTTCTTCCTTTTGTGTGTATTGCCTTGACAGTAAGATTTGAGAAGGCAAAATAAAAATTAGGTCCAAACACCAATTGTTCTGTTTCTTTTGCTAGATGTATCTACGCCAGAGGCTGGAAGAAAGTTACTGGATGCCTCTGTAGTGAACGGTGGCCTGGCACCACAAGGAAAGCAGAATGGGGCCACGCAGGTGACAGTACAACGCAAGAGACTCCTTAAGGCTCCCACGTTGGCTGAACTTGACAGCTCAGATTCAGAGGTAAAAAATCAGGACACAATTTGCTTCTCGATTTGTCAGAATTGAGTTTTACTCCTCAATTTGCTGAGCTGATCAGATGAGAAGTGATTTTGCAGATTATAAGCTGAATTTTCCATGACTGCTTTGTCAGCCCACAGAACTTCAAAAAATATTAGATCAGACACGCTCCCCCTCATTTTTATGAGAATATTCTTTTAAAAGTTTAAATGCTCATTTTGGCCTTAGACCCAGTATTTACTTATTTTTCTAAATGTCCAGTATCTGTTCCACAATGTATTTGTAGCAATTATTCTTTTGGGAATGCAGGCAAATGTGGTGCACCCTTCTGGCACCCGTGCAGGAGCTGTCACTAAAGGCCTCAGATGTGAGGTCACCCTCACCATACCAACTGTTAAATAAAGAGCATCAGCTGTGCCAGAGGGGTTGCAGTTTGGTGCAAATGTCAGTGGTTTAGTTTGCTGCATAGGCTTGGGAAGTAACACCAAACAAATGTTTCACAGACAGGGATGAGCAAATACACTGAGATGGAGAAATGACTTTGAATCCATTCTCCCTCAAATGGAGAGTTACAAATTTAAAAAAGCATAAAAAGGAGAAAAGCTTAAAAAAGCTCTCTAGCTTAAAAGCTGCATTATATATGATCCTCAAGACATACCAACATTACATTCTCAAGAATGAGCTTTGTCCGCTGCACCAGTAATTGAGTTTGGACCTTTCTGAAAGTTAAGCTGTCTGGAAAGCACATGCAGGCAGGGTTTATTCACAGAGGCTAATTTTAGCCTGGGGAAGGCAGTCTTCCCTGACTCTCTTTAGTAAATGGGGAAGAAGGGGCTTCCTGGCAGGGCGCTTATAAAGGCACCTAAGCTGAAAGATAGGAGGCTGGGGAGAAATATATGTGGGTAGAAATTTATCTCTTTGCCTACTTTCTTGATCTGTGAAAGGTTGACCCTCTTTGTATTAGGGATTATCCTATGGGTGATTTGTGTGGGTGCATAATTTGGTGCATCTATTCTGAAAGCAGGAGAGATTTGCATTCTGAAATCCCTCAGGAGTCTTTAAAATTATAATATGAGGTTTTGTTAATATGGCTGAAGCTGGGCAGGATGCAGCAATATTAAGACCTGTCAATGAGACTTGGATCTTGAACTTAGAGCTTCCCAGCTTGTAGCTTGGTGCATCCTGAAGCTAATGCAGCATGATATTTCACACAGAAAAATGAGCAGAGCTCAGTGAAAGAAAATTCTGTAAAGGGAAACATGAAATGATTCTTGTAGGAGGGAAAAATAAGATGTCTGACTGTGTTCTTTAGGGAATACTGTGTAGGCAAGCAAGGTTGTACAGAATAAGTCCTGAAACATACAGCGAAAGATGAATTGAAAATAAATCAGCCACATTGAGCTGACACAGAGAACAGATGCTGTACTGGTTTGAGTCAACAGAATTAGCTGGTGAAGCAATTAAAACAATTAAGATGCTCAACAGAATACTGGTTGGGGCTCAGGAACAGTGCTAAAGTAGTGTAAATAAACAAACTGAAGGGAGTTTGGGTGAGGTTTTCTGAGCTGACAAGGGGGGTGGAACATACGACATTTGAAGAAAGCGAAGATCGCTCTCTCAAAATGTCTTATTTCTTTACTGACTTTTACTTTGTATGTAACACACAGAAGAGCGTATGTGTTGTCCTGATGGCCTATAAATGACTCGGCCACCTCTTTGCCTGCAATTTGAATTGGGCTTAATCTATTTAGAGTTACTCACTGGGAGTTAAATTATGACTATGTTATGCCCTAAATTACAGGCTGCAAATATCTGCACTGCTGAGCTGTGGACCTCCAAATGAGTTGTGATGCAGAAGCATTTTTTCCCCCCTGCATCCCCTTTGTTCTTCTCTCAGCTGTGTTGTGATGCAGACTACGCCCCAACACTCAGTATTGCCAGCCAGAGGTGAAAGGGAAGGTCTGATACAGCCCTATGCCCATTTGCTGGCAAGGAGGAATATTGCATAACCCGTTCCTGCTTTCAGTCCTTGCTTTTTTTCTGCATTGCCACTAGAATCAGTTTCAGAGGGGGAGTAGGAAGTTCCATTTTGCTTTCTGTGGCTAAAAGAAGTTGCAATCTAATAGTGATTTTTGATACAGATGTAAAAATGGTATCTTCCTAATGAAGCTACAGCTATCCGGACAAAAAGCATATCGGTAACATGCACCTCTCTTCTGATCTTGTTCTTTCATGTGATAATTAAATACACTGAGTTCCAACCATGTACTGTTTATTCCAGTTTCTAAAAAAATGGAGCACTGAAAATTCCATTTACTCAGTGCTGTGTAGAGTTGATGTTTTTCTCAGGACTTCTTCTAGGGCTTTGAGTAATTGAATGGTGCAAAATACCTTTGATAGCTTGTGATTTCTGTGTGCTAAGAAGCAGTAAGAGAAAAAAAAAACAGTCCTTGAGGAATTCTGTTTCTTTTCCTCTTGCCATACAGGAGGAATCAGTGCACAAATCAGCAAGTAGCAGCAGCATCTCCCCCTCACAAGTAGAAGACCCCTCTCAAGAAGGCACCAGCAGCAGAAAGAGTGAGTTTTGATGAGTGAGCCCAGCGGCTGCTTTTACACGCTTCTGTTGTTTTCTGTTCTATGAACTTTGTCTTAAACTTTCATATAAAGCTGAAGCTGAGTGTTGTCAATGAAATAACTCTCTAAAGCTGAACCCTAGAACCTGCGGAATAGATCAAATGTGATTAACGATTGGAAGGCATTAGCCTCCACTACATGTGGGTAGGTATGTGAAACAAAGTTTCACACCTGAAGTTGATGTGGAACTGTAGAGGAAGTCACAAGTGAATGGGAGGTCATTTAGCTATGCTCATCTCATGAAAGAATTTGTTGCTGCAGAAACACATTCTAACCTAAGACCAATATAAATGTTTCCTGCATCTGTGTCACCATGGCAGTGAATGTACTTGTTTGAAAGACCTGTAGCAAGCACCAGTATTTCTCATAAGTACTTACTGGGAAAAGGTGAGGATCTGTTCTTTTTTTTTTCAGGCATAGGATTTACTGTGTGACAGTATTTTTCATTTGTTTCAAAGTGTTTCAGTTTCACTGGAAAAGTTTTGTAATGAAAGTGTAATCTGTGCGTTACATAAAATGTAATCTGTGCATACAGAAAATTTGTATTTTTTTTTTTCACAATAATGAAATAAGTAGAATAAGCTAATACCCTGAAACACCAACTTTATATACGATGGTAACTGGGCAGTAGCATGCCTGTATTTGCTAGGTTTATGAGTATTCCTCTTCTCTCAATCTGGAAAATGTGATGAATGTGATACCTGTCTTGAAGATGCTCTGAGTATGGATGTGTAACGTCAGGTACCAATAGAGGGAATGCTAGCAAATCAGTGGCTCGTTTAAGTACTGAGCAATGTTGTCCAACAGTCTGTCTTACAAGAACTAATTTTTTTATACTGGTTGAATCTTTAGTGCCTCCAAAGTTCTTGCCCATATCATCTACACCACAGCCTGAGAGACGGCAGCCACCTCAGAGACGACACTCCATTGAAAAGGAAACACCAACCAATGTGAGACAGTTCCTACCACCTTCAAAACAGAGCTCCAGATCACTTGTAAGTGGAGTGGGTGGTAGGAGAGAGAAAAAGAGGCATACTAAGAGTATAATGAAAATTAAAACTTGGCTTCAGTGTGATTAGAACTTGACTCAAAGAAAACTCCTCAATTCAGAAACAGCCCTTGGCTACTAAAGACATTTTGAAATCAAGATTTGAACTTTGTCTCTCTAGCCTATTTATCCAAAATCCCAAGTACAGGTGCCTCAGAAAATATTTGCACTTTGATTAGGACTCCGGGTAAAGCCACGTGTCTTGATTTAAAATTTGGGAATGTTACCAAAACAGACAAACTTCACCATACTGATTTTCATTTGAATAGAGACAGTTCCGAAGCAGTGGATCTATTTTGGGATTTAGGGGAATTTTTTAGTTGTTGGAAGTATTTTAGTTAATGGCTGAATGAATGGAATGGTTTCTTTTCTTCCCACATTAAGAACTTGTGTCGTAATGTTTTACATGTGAAAGCTCTTACAGTAACCCAAATCAAGGTTTGGCTGTGTTGCTTTGTTGAAGTTATTGAGGCAAAAACCTGTATTACTGCTTGAAAAGAAAGTACAGTACATTTGATCAATTAGCTTTAATTGAGAGCTGTTTTCCAACAGAGTATAAACAGCAAAGGGTATGAAATCCTGGTTTGTTTATGCTGACATACTGATTAGTGCTTTGTAATTTCATGCAGGATATGTTCCTTGTCTCTTTTCCTACCAGCAGGGTTTCGAAGTATGCCCCATGAGGTGCTGGTGAATAGAGAAATCAATAAACACATCCTAGTTTTGAAAGAAAGGGAATATTCACTTGCCCCGTCTTTTAGTGCAGTAGTATTAATGGGCTTTGGAGAGTATTCTTGTTGGCCCAAGAGTTGGTGGCCAGGATCCAAACCTATTAGATGATGAAGTTGAACAATAACAAGAAAATAATCTCCAAATATTCCCACAACTCGCTTCCTCCTCTTCTTTTCTGAGGAACTCCCAAATTTTGTTTATTATATTCTTCGAATTAGAATGTAGTTTCTCATTCCAGGTGATGGTCAGGTAGTAGCATGCTGATAAACGCACAACAGAAGTAGTGTTCTAGACTTCTTCTGCCAAAGTGAACTTGGAGCGGAACATACTGCACCAGAACCAAGCTGGAGGGTTCCTTCAGTGTGCATTTGAAGACACTGCCATATAAAATGGATTGCCCTGTCATCACATGTGATGATTCCTTCACTACATGTGGAAGCACAAGCTTTATTTTCTGACAGGCCCAGAGTCATTCAGAGACGTAAGGGGAGAAAAAGACATTAAATAAGACAGGCTAATGTGGGAACACATGGGAAAGGTTTTACTAGTTTCTTTTGTGCTTGGGTTTTTTCGTTTGGGGTTTTTTTTTTCACTCTTTAGAGAACTGTGACGTAGATTGGTTTTAGCTATGAAGTGAGAAGGAAGGAAAATCAGTAGTGAAATGATGTTCTGTTAAACAAGAACCTATTTTATTTGACGCCTCAAGAGCTAACTCTTTAACTTGGCAGTAGTGCCCTCTAGGGTGTGACAGACAACTGCCACAATACTTGTGTTCGTTTTGGTAGATGGTTGCTGATATGCTGGCACTGGCCCAGTCCCATGCTTTGGCTTACTGCAAGTCTTTCCTTCCCCAGAGAGATGACAGCTTCTTTCTGTGGCTGCGCCAGATGCTGCATATGTAACACTGCCGTTCCTGGAGTGAACGCTTCTCAATAAGTGCAGAATATTATTTACTTTTTACTTGACTTCACACTTCTTCATCCCTTCCCCCAGGATTGATGGAGTTTCATTTCTTATCACCTGCTCCTGTGACCGCAGTCTCTCTCCAAGGTGAAGGAGACCTCGTCAATAAATAGCCCTCAATGCCAGTGAAAACAGGCAGGACTTTGCTACAGTCTCTTAGCAGGATTAGCAAGAAACTGGTCTGTCTTGCATACTAATCATGGTTTTGTAAAGTGGCATCTCATCAGACAGAGGGAGTTAGACCTAAGTAGGTGGGGAGGGGAAACACTTGGAAAGATGCCATAGTCCTTTTGATATGTCACCCTACCAGTGCTACATGGAAAGGCAGGGCAGCTCACTGATTTTTTGGGGGGTCAGCCTGGTAGTGTGCTCACTCTAGTAAGACGACTCGGTGCTTAATCCCTGAGATGAAGCCAGTGTCCTGAGATGTACATATGAATGCCTTTGTAGTCTGTTTGCTTTTTTAACTATTATTATTATCATTATTATTTTTCATGACCCAGAGGACCAAAGCTAATGGTTTCATTTATACACAGCATTCGCTTCTCTGCTTCCTATCTATTGTTCAGGTTCCTAGGATAACCAGTTTATTTCCAAGGATGACTTTCAGACCACTTTTTTCAACTATGCAAACAGCTTCTCTGCTCAGCTCTCATCCCGTTGAAGCAGCCATGTGTGGGGTGGCAGGGGCTATGTACTATCTCTGTGAGAGAGCTTTTGCCAGCAGGTGGAAACCCGCAAAGGTTTGCCTCTTTTTGCTGGCTTTGGAAATCACCTTCACCAGCATGTTCCCTCCTAGGGGAGCACTTCCTAAACTGTGGCAAGAATTAAAGCTTAGGCTGGGACATCACACCTGATTGACATTGATTTCAATGTGTATAGGATATTTGTGTGTCTTCAATCACCTCACGGGGAAAAGAAATCAGTTCTGAAAGGACAGCAAACTAAAAATGCAACATCACAAGATTATCAATGGGACAGACCTTAAATGTTACAGCACATGAAGACCCTGCAGCAAAAATCCAGCAAAACTATTGTAATCCTTGGACTGTGTTGAAAAGAATAAGGTTTTATGTTTCTGACAAGATACACTATGTAGAATGAAAGGGCATTTGCAGTCTGTTTTATTTGAAAACCTACATATGGTTTTGGTCCTTAGCACACTTACATATCAGAACTTTGCAGAATAACTAATAGTTATGTACCAGGGAAGGCAAATCCACTAAAAAGAAAAAATTATTAATTTACCCCTATGTAGAACTGAACATGAATAACTTAATTTTTTCCTTCTTTTTCTTGTCCCAACCAATAAGTGAAAGTGTGAAACCTGTTGCAGGAGAGTTTATAATTGAGGTACACAGCCAACTTCTTAGAAACTTTTAGTCTGCAAAAGCAAGGAGAGTTTAGAGTGCTTGATTAATTGTGAATTGCAGAATTTAGAGGCCAGTCTGGCACTTTTTCGATTGCAATTTACTGGAGCAGCTCATTCGAATGCCTAGTGACATCCTTTAATAGGAAGTTTTACAAGGAATATATTAGTGTAAAAATGTGTTAGTCATAAGGAGCTATTAGGTGTGTATATGCTGAGAATGACCTACAAAGCACTTTATTTCACATTATGGATATGTAATTCTTACTACCTGCTTTTCCTGGGTAAAAAAATTACACATATACACCTTAAGCTATTACGGTGTATGTAATAAGACTGCACAGTCAAAGTGTTAAGCCAATTCTCAGGAGGATCTTGGAAACTTCAAGTTCAAAATATTGTTTTTAAGTAAGATTTTTTTTTCCCTTTAAAAATAAGAATACTGACTTGTCTTTAATATTAAAATGAGTACAATTCCAGAAAGTCAAGACCATTCAAACCATATTTTGTCTTTAGTATGTTCTGTTGTATGCAGAGAGCTGAAGTTCTCTCACTTGGAGCTGTCTAACTTGAGTGTAGATTATGGTTGGAAGTTTGAGCAATAACTCCAAAGCATCATTGTTTAATGAAGTTTAGTCAGTGCTTAGTGTAATTTTAATTAATTTCAGTGCCTTAGAGGTAGTGTTGAAACAGAAAATTTTCTTGTGTACTTATTTCTATTCCGAAAAGGGAAAAAAAAAAAATCAAGCAGTTTTCTGAAATCAGCATAATATTTATCTTTCATTTAATGTTGCATTAACATTTTGTTGTCCTTGTGTAACCTCTGGAATTAAAACATTAGCATTTAAACATGTGAACATTTTCTATGTTTCCCCTGTTGCCTGCTAGCAATTTCTATTTGCTTTAGTGATAATTATTTTCGATTGGTACAACGACAGGCCCACACTATTCCCCTAGTACCTGCTCTACACCTATAGCAGATCCGCAGACTTTCTTCAAAGGAGCAATATTCCCTGACGTCATCGTTCTATAAATTAAAGGAATGGGCATTCATGAGGGGGAAGGAAGAGCTTCAAGTAAGAAATGTATTTCTAAAGGACTTAAAGCTCTGATTGATTACAAGCATTCAGGCAGCCTCATTCACCTCGGACAGTTTCTCTCAGTCTCCCATGGTGCAGAATCGAGGGGGTTTGCGGGCGTTGTATCCATCACGCTTTCCCACCCACTTCCTCTCCCGTCTCGCCCCTGCCTTCAGCCGTGCCTTCTCCATAGCGAGGTGGTTGCTATGGGAAGAACCCAGAACGAAACGCTGAGAGCTGCTGGTTAGCTCTAAAGTTGCTCATAAGGAACAGAAGTTATTTTGTTTTAGCTGTGCAGTTTTACACCTCAGAACAAATTGCAGTTGCTTTTGATGTAGTTTGTTGTTTCCAGACAACTAGTGATTCTGTACCCCTAAGGTTTAGCTGGCAAATCTAACAAAATTAACTCAATTCTAGTCTTTTGTGGGGTACCTTAAACAGAGTGAAGTTTCTTTGTGTTCCCTTTCTAGATAGGTAAGACAACAGTTTTTAAAAATGTGGTGGTTCCTAAATGCTAATGTTTGCCAGGTCTGCAACGTAGAAAGATTTTCTTTTTAATCTAACGGAAAGACAGAACAGACCTCTGAGTACGTGGGATTCATCACTTCCGTTTGTAAACGAGATCTCTAAACTGTCAGCCACGTCTTTGTATTTGCAGGAGAAATTTCCTTCATTTATTCAGAGAGCATTACATGTCATTGTCATTACTGCACAGTAGCCCCTCTGGGCTGACTGAAAAGGTTCGCTAAGCATAAAGCGATGAGAGTTCCCACAGAGGTTTCTGTCTTTCTGTTGGAAATGTATAATCAACTACAGGGCTGGATTACAAATTGGGTTGGTGCTTTTTATTCTCTGGTACCAAATTCAGGAGTTCTCTACTCAGTAGTCTCCAAAATGCTGCAATACAGAACAGGCGGAAAATTTTACAAGTGGGAGGTTATGTTGTTTAGTCTCTGTTTGAGTCTCTGCCATTAATAATGCAACACTGGGTAACCTGCCTTATATTTGAAGATTATTCTATAAAGCTTAAATTGCTGCTGTTACTTTCCTGGGGCAGAAAGGAGAACTTTTCTGCCTGAACTGCCATAACTTTTTGTAGTCTTGGTGGGATTCTGATCCATGTAAGCACCAAGATGTGGTACCACTGAATAAAAATTTCTGCTAGAATGGGCTACTAACAACTTTCCTTGGCCTCTCTGGGCACCACAAAGTCTCAGAGAAATTCTGCCTCTTCAAACAATGTACTTAATAGTAATACCATCTGCCAAATTACCTTTTCCCTTTCAAATTACAAACCCGAACATTGATTGGTTTGAAACAAGTCTTTCGTAAGACAAACAAAAGAAGGGTCAAGCGGTTTGAGGAGGAAAAACGAAGAAACTGTCATTGTTGTGAAGGCTGAATGTCAGACCATTTAGATTACACTTACGCAGTCTCTGACGGCTTGAACTCGTGTGATGCCCATGAATGAGCCAGTGCTATTCCAGTTTGAAGGGAGAAACCCTCTATTTCTGGAGTTACTAACGAGGTGGCTGGTTGTCAAGGCTGAAGTCTGGAAGAAGCTGTTTGGCTTTGAAGTAATACAGGTTTTTTGGCTTCCAGGAGGAGTTCTGTTACCCGGTGGAATGTCTGGCCCTGACGGTGGAGGAAGTCATGCACATCCGTCAGGTGCTGGTGAAGGCGGAACTGGAAAAGTACCAGCAATATAAAGACGTCTACACTGCTCTCAAGAAAGGAAAGGTAGGGCTGAGTCTGTGGATGCTCTGAAGCTTATTGAGGGAGGCCGGTCACACAAGCCTCCTGTTTACACATTTGTTTCTTACCTTGTATTGGAGAAAAAGAAGGACTATCCACCAAACTCCCCCTAAATGTGTAACATATGGGTCAGCTTCCTTGAATTATGTGCAGAAACATTAAAACTTTTAATGGAAATAACCTTCTTTGTTTAGATTGTCTATAAAAATGCAGTAGTGTTTGCAATTATCAGAGCATATCTGTATGTGTATGTTTTAAACTTCATTGACTAAAGTGATTTCTGGCGCCCTGCAGTATTGCTTGGCATTTCTATGCCAGAAAATAGAATTACAGCTAGCAGTAGGAAATTACAACAGGTTTTTCATATGAATCCTCACTATCAAGCAAAGAGGGGATGAAAGCCTTCAGAGACGTCAGACGATATGTGACCCCAGAAGGAGGTTTAATACTATAGAACCTGTTAACTAATACATTTTTTTTCTGTAAACTGCAGATTGGGAATTTGCGTTTACCAGTAGACACCGTGTCCTTTTCTCCCACTTTTGACTTGTGCTTCTCAAACACCTCCAGCAAGTGTCTTTTGACTTCACAGTGTATCTTACTTACAGGCCTACCCATGTCTAGTATGCAGATTTAATCTAAAGATTTAATACTTTTAAGGCAGAGGGACAAGAATCTTAAAATGTCATTCATTAGATTCAGCTGTTGCATATTGTCATGATATATAAAGCTTAGTAATGACCTGTTATCAAATCTCAAAGTAAATTGATGCTTTAATTAATTTATCCCACTATTAAAGGGTTGACTGTTATTTCTAACCACATTTATGTAGCATCACCCAAGTCTTTGGATCTCAATATGTCATCTTTTGTTTGACTGCAAAACTTTTCATAGTTCAATGCCTTTCCTTCCTAGAAATGTTCTTAAGCTGTGACCTCTACCTCCTTTGAATAAGCTGAATAGATGGCATTTATTATACCACTATAAAGCAGGTTTTCCTCAAGTAAGATTGTTGCAATAGCCTTTTCCTGCACCTCCTCGAGTTTTCAAGAATATAGGATTGGAAGAAAATAATCAAATGTTATCCCTGGCAAAACCTGACCCAGCTGGTTAGGAACAATTTCCAGCCTAAATGTATTTATGGCTGAATTTATGCCCATTTGTTCTTGTGTTTTTCAGGTGTAACAGTTACCCTTCTTCATTGCTGTTACTCTTACTTTCCCATTGCTTTTTTCTGTAGTAATGATATGAACATCAGCGAGGGAGGAGTAAAAATAAGTAAATAATTAACTGGCAAGTATTTAACTTAGGTAAAAAAAATGAGTATTTCTAAATACGTGAAGATACAGTTCTGGACCATTCTTTTCAACATAATCTTAGAAGTATCAACCCCAGAACTGGATGTAGTACTGCAACTGTGGTCTCACTGATGGCAACTGATAGGTGAAGTCATTACTGTGCGGGACTTTGCCTAACGTTGTGGACTTCTCTGTTCTTCTTTTAGCTCTGCTTTTGCTGTCGAAAAAGAAGGTTTTCTTTCTTTACCTGGTCTTACACTTGTCAGTTCTGTAAGAGGTAACTATTTAATATCTGTTAATAAGTGAATACCATTTCAGAGGCAAAAATACTGATTTATATGTTAGAAACTCCCAAATGTTTCTGCTGCATGCTGTTGACTTTTGTTGCTGTAACAAGTCAAGGTTAAAAAAAAAATATGCAAACCCAGATCCTTCCTAAGTGACAGAATTGCTTCCTTGGACTGAAACTCTTGGCTAGAAGTGAGCAAAATACCTATTTGTTCTTTTATGCTCTTGGGAGAGTGAGATGGAATTTATTTAGACTCCCCAATCAACACTTCCATAATCTCTTCTGTTGTGGAAAACATTTCCAGGCAATTTACTGTTTGGATTATTTTTTGAGTATTAGTGGGTGGAGAAGGGAAAAAAACGTGTGGATGTGGTGCTTCAGGACATGGTTTAGGGGGCATGGTGGTGTTGGGTTAACGGTTAGACTTGATGATCTCGAAGGTCCTTTCCAACCTTAGTGATTCTGTGATTCTATTCTTGATTTAAATGTAATTTTTCCCATTGAAAAAAATTATTCATGCTCTTACTTTCTTACACAGGCCTGTATGCTCACAGTGTTGCAAAAAAGTAAGTAAACAAACTTACAGTTAGACCCTTTCTAAAAAGCTGTAATCTTTTTAATGATACTGCATGTTCCTTCTGCTGTTCTCACAACAGATGCGGTTGCCGTCAAAGCCATATTCTACTCTCCCCATCTTCTCGCTGGGACCTTCAACCTTGCAAAGAGGAGAAAGTTTTATGAGGCCAGAAAAACCCTCTACCAGTCACCAGCGATCACTGCGCAGCATGTCCAGGTGAGAAACAACCCGAGCGCATGCGTGTCTGTTGGAAATGCTTTCCGAATGTTTCCTCTTCTGTTATCAGTCATTAATTACTGTCTTCCTGTTTTGTAGTTGTCAATGTTTCTAATGCTTGTAGTAACTTTTCTGAAGCCTGAAAATCCATGTCTCGTCCACTCATTGCTTTTATTTACAGAAATAGAAATACTAACACTGTGTCTTAAATGTTTTTCACATTGCAGGTGAAAAATGATATGAGCCTGGGGCAACTGTATTTCTGTAGCACCTCTGCAAAAATATCCTTAGTGTGTCTTTTTCTGGTGCGAATAGACTCTGGAGATACATCTCACAGGCTAGATTCACTCACTGAATGGGAGTTCAATGATGTCTTGCAAAGATTTATCTTCTTTTTCTCCTTGTTTTTCAAATTCTAATTTTCACTATTTTTTTTCACTTTGATACTATCAAGTTATCTACTGGTTTTATATCTTACACACAGATGGTTGTCAAAGCTAATCCGAGAAATTAAATGTAAAAGAAGTGCTCCTTTTTGAGGGGATCTACAGTATAAACCCTTTGCATAAATCACTAGTGCTAGGATGCTGTGTCAAATGAACCAAACACATCATCTATTTATAGTTATTAGTAAGGTGGTTTTTCCAAGGTAAATGTTATACATGCCCTCAGTTAGTGAGGGCAATTACCTTGCAATCTTGCCTGATCAGGCAGAAGTGTCCTCTCTGGTGTTTGGTCTCCTGGTGTCATTTTTGGGACAGGAGAAGGGAAGATTTAAATCAAGACCATTCTGATGTGCCATTTCCTGAAGGTGTCCCCTGGGGCCTACTGCCATGCTGCTAAATAATGTGACAGGTCCTGCTCTTTTGCCTTTCAGGTTGACCTCGAGGTCCAAATCTGTGGATAAGTCACAGGAAGAGTTTCCCAAAGAATTAATGGAGGACTGGAGTACGATGGAGGTGTGCGTGGACTGCAAGAAGTTTATTTCAGAAATCATCAACTCAAGCCGGCGCAGCCTATCTCTGGCCAACAAGCGAGCCAGGTTAAAAAGGAAAACGCAGTCCTTCTACATGTCGTCGCCGGGAACCTCTGAATATTGCCCCTCTGAAAGGACTATCAATGAGATCTGAGCTGTGTGCCTTTTTCTTTGCTTTTGTCTTCATGAGGTCATCATCCATGAGCAAGGTCACTGAAACTGGATTATCATTCCGTTGCTTCATTTCACTTGACTGGCTTGAATTTGCATTAGATCACAGGATTTCCTCCTCCAATGGTTCCCAGAGACGCAGAACGCTATGTTTAGATCTGTGCAGAATGATACACAACGGGTCAGCTGCTCGCACTGAAGAAAATCAGTAGTTTGAAATTGTTGCCTCTTTTGTATGTGTGCGTTGAAACTAGAAAGCCTTTACTTGCTTTCGATCTTTTTTTGATCTCAAATGCTTTGAATCATTTTTCAGGAGATGAGCTGAAAACATGTGTTTAATGGAGAACCAAATCTAACAAAGTGTCAGGGTTAGCACAGTAGCAAACAGTAAGTCATATTGGCATTACCACCCTCATAATGCTCATGTCCTAGTTGAAACAGCACCAGGCACCGAGGGTTAGCGACCGTGGTTGAAACCATCTTTCTTTGAACTGTTTCGGTTGCTCTGAGATCAGTTCGGTTGCTCAGCACGGCACTCTACAATGGCTCTGTCCTAGGGCAAAATACACAACGAAGCTCTTGGCCCGTGCAGTTGGCCATTCCCCTGAGCTGCTGTATGTTTTAAGCCTTAGTGCACTTCTAAGTGTCTCCTGAGCAGGTTTTAGTAATTTAACTTCTACCTTGAATGTATGATGATGACTACTAGTAGCAGTGAATTTTAGTAGTAGACAGAGTTGTACAGTTTATGGGGAGGTTGGGAAATAAGGGAGGCTTCTAATTTTAACTGAATACCTGTAAAGTTTTTCTCATGGTTACTCAGAGAAAACGGTGGGTAAGGTGTACATTTGTATTATAATGGAGCACACAGATACTGCTATAGTTATGTCTGACAGCATATCCACTGATAACCCCATTTTTTCTGGGGTTTATAACTTGGCTGTAAAAATTCGTGTTCTGCTGAAATTTGGGACAGGGCTGTCTCAGATTGGGAGCAATCTCTCTTTTTTCCCTTTTATCTTTTTTCGTTCTTTTTCTCTTTTTAATTTGCTCATGGAAGAGTGCTAGACTGGTTGTTCAGAAGTTCCGACAACCTTACAACGTTAACTGACATCTCATGCTTTTTTGCACTTTTTTTATATTCAAAATACTTTTTTAAAATTCAAGCATAGCCAGAGTTTAGTCAATAATTTGGGGCCAGATCATTTTGGTATTTAAAAACAAGCTAACATAGCCAAGTTATTAATACTTGAAAATCAACTACTGTAACTTTTTCATAAATTTTTAATACCCTAAGGCGTATTTAATATCTATATAGCAGTGTATTATAGAATGACGTAGCAGAAAAGTTTCAGATCTATTTATTAACATTTCTATACTTCAGATTAATGAGAGATACCTCAGAACTGCTCCAAAGTAGCTGGGACTGGATTTCCGTAACATCATTTTCAAGCCGTATTAATCAAAACAGATTCTCCTGTCCAAATCTCATGCATTGAAAGGCCCAAGAGAAGGCAGACTGCCCCGCCACCCCGGTAAGGCACGGTGCGGAGGCTGTGGGGCACCTGGGGAGGTTGGCTCCCAGGCGGTAGCTGGGCTCCGGTCCCGCCACGGGCTGCCTCCTGCTGCCGCGGGGAGCCAGGCTTCCCCTTCAAAGTGTGTTTGCATGTTACATTCCAGCCTTCGGAGCAGCCACTCCCATCATATCTTTTAAGGTGATTTGAAAAGCACATGCAAAAGTCTCCTTAAACCTTCCCAGGGACTCATCCATCCTTATTTTTCTTTAAACACCCCCTTGGAAAATGAGAATTTTTGCATAGGCAGGGCTTATTGAAATAATGTTTTCAATTTTTTCTGAACCAATGCAAACAGGAAAAGCAGGGCTCAAGGCTAACTCTCCCTCGTAGCTGCCCCATGTAAGCCCAGCTGCCGGGGCGCTCTCCTCGGGGTGCCTCCGGAATCGTGCGTGTTAAAGTGCCGAGAGTACTGGCGTGCGGTAAGGCTGTGGGGTTGCAGGAGGTGAGCGGCACGGGCAGGCTGATACAAAAGGTCTGCTGTTGCTAGAAGGGTCGCCTGATCTCAGTCACATCTGCACTTTTTCTTATTTCTGTGCCAAAACCAGGCCGTGTGCTTGCTGCACAGCACGTCAGGAAAACTAGACTGAAAGAAATGCAGGAAATCTCACTTTGCATCTCCCCTGTTGTTGTTTTTAGCATTTTCTCCTGGAAATGCCCTGGCCACATGTTACAATCGCTCCATCCTCTGCTCGCAGTCCTCTCCCCTGGCATCCTCAAGCCGCTGAGGTGCAGCGTATCCGGCGCGTTTATTTTCCCCTTTGAGAGGGATGTAGGGCGTTGCAGAGCAGGCAGGATCAAGGGCTAAGGCAGTCCCGAGCATGCGAAGGGAGACGAGTGCCCCATGGCACGCCTGCGCCATCCATGAGCTGTGCCCC